CAAGGGTTGAGGGAATGATAATCTAGAGACCTTTGTCTTTGTAGCATATTCTTTGCTTCTTAAGTCATTGTTCTGTAGGTGTTTCTCAAAATGTCGAGCAAAACACATTTTTATACTCCAAAGTTATGGCAGGGAACTGTTCTACAGGTCACTAAAGATTTCCAGATGCTGCAAATAAGATACATTAATCAAATGCTTGTATGATAATTTTTAGCAATTATTGCATAAAGCATGTTGCTTATTAAATCTTTTTTGTGAGGAAGATGTTCCTTGAAGTTACAGATTTTGGCCTGGTATCATTAACTGATGATAAATATGTGTTTATATCTATAAGCCAGAAGGGGACGGCTCTAAACAACAGTTTTTTGTATCTAATACTTGGATTTTTGGAGAGAAAGTTCATAACTCCATATTGGAACCCTTGCAATTTGCTTATTTGCATTTACATCCTAGAACCCTAACAATTCGCTGTTTTTGGTAATATTTTGCAGGCCAAAGCTGGTGCTGGATCTGCAACATTATCAATGGTTTGTTAGCATTCTCTTCTGGATTTTATATATGATATTTCCACACTATGCATTTCTTTAGCTTGATGACTTGATCTTTCCACCACACAAATATAAACTGGGAAATGCAAATAAATTGCAGGCGTATGCTGCCGTAAAATTCGCTGATGCATGCCTTCGGGGCTTAAGAGGAGACGCTGGCATTGTCGAATGTGCATTTGTGGCTTCTCATGTAGGTTACCAGAGACTAGATCTCTCTTTATTTGTCATTCCTATGGTGGACTTTATATGTTTTCATGTGAACTAACAAGCTACCCTTTTAGGTGACTGAACTGCCCTTCTTTGCATCCAAAGTACAGCTTGGTCGATCTGGAATCGAGGAAGTGTACCCTCTTGGCCCCCTAAACGAGTACGAGAGGTTTGTATCCACAAATGTTACTTTCACTTTGAAAATATTTATCCAATATACATAGAAATTTAACAGGAAATGCTAAATGATATTTGGCAGAGCTGGTTTGGAGAAGGCAAAGAAAGAATTAGCGGCAAGCATTGAGAAAGGGGTTTCCTTCCTCAAGAAATAATCATATGGCAATTAACTCAAAACAGACTGCTTACTAAAATCTCAGAACAAAGATATCTGGAAATAAGTGGCAAGTTCTACACGTTATGTGCTAATGGTTTTTGCATGGAACCTAAGCAAGGAGATATTTGTCTTTGGAGCTTGAATGAAATTCATGTAATAAAGAGAACAGATTGTAAATTAGTTATTTTAAAATCAAATGAAGAGTTCACCTAAACCAAATATATTATGTGTGTCAGTAGGCATTAAAGCATTTCATTTTTCAAAGATATTTTTTCTCTACTTGTCTGTGTTGCTGGAAAAGCTATAGGTGACCCACTTTGTGGGATTCCCGCATGCTCCTCTGAGTACAGCTTTTGTGAGGGTTATGATGGTTACCAGATACAAACTCTGTTCCATCTTTTTGGTACAATTCTGCTCTTTCTTTTTATCAAATTCAGAAGAACTCTCCAGCAGCCCTTTAGAGAACAAGATTACCAGATACAAACTCTGTTCCATCTTTTTGGTACAATCCTGCTCTTTCTTTTTATCAAATTCAGAAGAACTCCCCAGCAGCCCTTTAGAGAACAAGATTATCCTTTCAGGCAAATTTATGGGCCGTAATTGGTCAAAAGCTCATAACCTAGTAACTCACTGACAGCCTAGAAAATTGGACTTCTATTGACCCGGCCCAGCATATTGGTTCCATCAATTCGTCCCCCTCTCCCTTCCTTTTTTTTTTTTTTTTAATATAGAATAACGTGGATATTCAAACGCTTGACTGGGTTAATCTCGCAGTTATTTTTAGATTAAAATACTAATTTGATTTCTGAACTTTTAAATTTGTATAAAAATTGTCTTTTAACTTAAAAAAGTATCAAAATTATCCATAAATTTTAATTTTTGATACCAAAATAATCCACCAACTTTGAAGATAATATCAATTTAATCCTTAAATTTTAAAGACAAATAGTAGTTTAGTTCTTGAACTTTGATTATAAATATCAATTTAGTTTTTTAATTTTAATTATATATTAATTTAATATGTAAATAAAAACATATCATGATAATAAAATATGATTATTTGATTTTACATATCATTAGTATTTTAAAAAAGAACTAATTTTTTGACAAAATAATCAGTTCCGTAACACTTCTGTTAATGAAAGGATTTTTTTGATGTTAAAAATTAAAGCTTAAGAACAATTTTAATATTTTTTGAAATTGAAGAACAATTTTGGTATAAATCTAAAAGTTGAGGGATTCAAATTAGTATTTTAACCTTTCTAAACTGTCCTGTCCTGTTTCTATCAATTCGTTTTTCCTACTCTCGCTTCCCTCCGTTCTTTTTATCTCAACGAAAAAGGGGAAAAAAAAATCAGAATTCATAACATGATTCCACCAAACAATATTGTCATCCACTATCTTTCCAACATCATATGCGTTTATGCTAAAAGGACAGATCAATATATGAGGAAGTGGCCCAGAAACCGATCTTGCTTTTCTGTTTGTTGAAAATACAAAACCAAACCCACTTTCAGTATTTTTTGTTTTTAAGCTTTGACTCTTCAGTCTTCAATTATATGCTGCACTGCATCAACAGTCTATGCATAACACTATGCAGAGGTTAGCTGGATAATGGTGAAAAAGCTGATGGAGCCCCGTGAGGCCTTAAATAAATAAAAGAGAAGTAGCATAGAGTGCTTTCCCCATCCCTTCTTATCTATGCTTATCCTATCTGAATTCTAATATATTCCCCTTCCATTTCCCAGACCCCACAATTAAATTTCCCATTTCCTTTTTTCCATTACAATGACACACTAACGCGCATACACTACATAATTGGTGTTTTGTTTTAATGGATTTTGCTTTCTCAATCTTTCTACTCAAAGACTACAAATTAAGGGTGGGAGTTTTGATTGTTAAAAATTATGCAATGGAGTGGACTTTGGTTAAAGGTTGCTTTAATATGGGACAACATGTTGGAACCCATGTTGATGATATTAATGTCTCCCTCATATACTGTGTCCCACGTTTTTTCCTCTCATTTCAAATGTTCAACCTTTTGGTGCTAAGAATGCAAAGTCATTGCCAAAGGTCCAACTTTGTGCAAAACTTTTTCATATCCTTTACAGCTATCTTTTGATCAGTCGCTTGGGTCCAGCTCCACTCCTACTATTCCACATTGGATTTTCAAAATGCATGCCTATGAACATGAAAAGGCCTCCCACTCATGTCTCTCCTTTTGCTCTTCTTGCTTCATCTCGCTATGTTTAAGTGGGATTGTTGATTTCATCCATCCTGATTATGCGGAATTTAAATGCATATTCTACCTATGCACCCCCTTTTTATAATTACAAATGTTTTTTTTTTTTAATCATCTTATCTTGTGAACTTTATAACATAATATAATTGATCATTGTCACTTTTAACTTTTTCTAACTTATCCTACGTTCACATTACATCTAAGATTTTTAACTTAAAATTCTTTTGGACTGTATTTTAAAAGAGACAAAAATTGAACTTGTATTAGCTATAAATGAAACACAGAAGACCATTATGATTCCTTTGGCATGAAAAATTGGTATGTCTATGGGCCAATCAAGCAAGCAATTTCCCATTGAATCACTGTCCTTGCTACCAATTTTGATGACTTTTCCTCCCAACATTTGGACTATCCTGTCTCCCCTCTTCGGCTCACTCGTTCAACCCTTGCTCTATGGCAAAGGCAAACAAGGACAATTTCATGACAAAACGCTGTGATATGGGCCCTGTTTTTTCAATTTCTTTCTCAAGATTCTTTCCAAGGTTAAGAGGCAATTATTGGTAAAATTTTTAATTCTCATCCCTTTTTTTTTTCTCCCTTTCCAGGAGCTCAATTTTATTTTCCCCTTTTCTCTTCTGTTTCCCCTTATTTCTCTTCTATATTTTCACTTTTCCCTTCTTCCAATCACACCATTGAAAAGGGGATAGAAAGGAAAGCTAAAAAGAAAAAAGAAAAAGAAATTAATTTTTAGATCGTGTTGGACCTAGCTGTTGATAAAGGAAGGAAATTAATGAGTAGAACCAGAAGTGAAGAGAGAAATAATACTGTTTATTATAAGTTTGGTAAAGTCAATAATATTGAGCCCTTGGGGCATGATTTAGAGGTACCATTCAGTAATTCTTCCAACCAAAAATACGAAGGTATTTAATTTAATTTATAAGGTACGCACCAATAAGGCCTTTGCTGAAGTGGAAATACTACGTCCTTGCAAATTTACGAAGTTGATATTGTGGGTTTGAGTCTCACCTTATGTAGGTGTACGTTAATGAATTTAGGCAAAACATTACGTTAAATTTTTGAATTTATTTTAAATTTTTTATTAAGTTTTTAAACTTTTATCGAAGCAAATTAGTCTTTGAACTTGTTGATTTAGACAATTTAATCATTTTTCTTCTTGTGAACTTAAAGCTTGTTTATACTTTATTTGCATGGATAAAGTCAATACCAACCACTTAGGCAATAACATATTAATATCTTATTTATGTAAATAAGGTACAAATAAATGGATGTTTGCCATAAAAAAATAGTTAAATTATTCAAATCACCAATTTTATAAGCTTATTTGCTTTTATAAAAGTTTAGAAACTTAATCTAGAATCTACAGTAAGTTTGGAGGTTTGATGTATGGTTTTGTCATAAATTTATTTGTAAGTAATTATCAATTTCATATTTAAATTTTGATGTTAACATTTAAAAAAAATTAATTTCTTTTGAACGCACTAAACTAATGTAAAAAGGTATTTTAAAAATCAGTCAGCAAAAAATTAATCTCTAAATGCATGTAAATTAACCTAAAAATACTATGACAGTAAATAAAAATGGAAAATCAATGTATCCCCACCTCGTTAAGTTATTAACAAAATTAGGTGCCCACAAATATATGGCAAAATCTTAATTTGCGTAAGGAATACTAATAGCAAACTTATAAATGAATGGAAGAATGCAACGTGATGGCTTGGAAACATTAAAATCGCGACTGTAACGTGGGTGCCACATGAATAAATAAGGATACCAACATTTTGGACTTCCCTAAATTCTGCTTTCATTGCATGCACTAAATTTTCGAACCATGCAACAAGCTTCTCACTTCTGCCACCCTTATATGTAGGACACATTAGACATTAATATTGTATCTGTATGTACCCGATTCTTGCTTCATTTTGTCTCTTTATCTAAGGTGCACATGTATAGATTATTCCTTGTACCAAAAAATAATTATCGTCATATAATATTACTCTAATTAAAAAGATTAATTGCACAAAATAACCTTCTTCCATTTACTTATTTTTTCTCACTCCACAGTCTCCACTTGTATAGTGGAATGAATATTGATGTGGGTTTTTTTTTTTTTTTTTTTATTTTTTTTTATCAGCATTACGTGGGTTGTTTGTAGTTTTTTTGTTGTTATAATAAAATCATTCAAAATAAAGGCCGTTCTGATTTAGTAACATTAAACCATGGGTTAAAACTGTTTATGTTCAGTAGATTGTACGTTCGAATTTTATAAAAACTTTTTTTTTCATCTCCAATTAATTTGTAAATAATTGCAATATATTCAAATAATAATAATAATAATAATAAAATCATTCAAAATAAGGGTTTCAATGGATGCACGAAATTGATATATCCTTTAAACATATCTTTAGTGCATAGGTTGTAAAGGAACTGCTGCCTTGAAAGATAATAATAATAATAATAAAATCATTCAAAATAAGGGTTTCAATGGATGCACGAAATTGATATATCCTTTAAACATATCTTTAGTGCATAGGTTGTAAAGGAACTGCTGCCTTGAAAGTTGTTGTTTCTAAAATTATTACTAGATATTTATACTCTATTTATTTAGTATAGTTGTAGTTAAAAATTTTTGTTTTTGTTTTTAAAAATTTAAAAATAAAATTAAAAAGTTTTATAAAGTAATTAAATTTAAATTTTTTAGTATTTATTTTAAAATTTCATATTTAATAATTGATAATTTTAATTTTAAATTTTATAGTTTCTAATAGTTAATTTTAATTATTTAAATTTAAAAATTAAAATAAAATACTAAATACTATAACCAGACTAAACTAAACCTTGGTTTATTATACTTTTTTTCTTTTGCTAGCCTTTGTTTATTATACTTCTAAATTGTATTTTTGGGAAAACTTCACTGGTGTTTGTTTTACATTTTCAAAAATAATTATCA